TAGTGGTATTAGCCCTTTATATTATAAAAAAGATGGTTTTAAATCTACTATTCAGTAAGTGGTTTTTATGTAATTAACCTAAGCTCTAGAGGCAAGAGTTTATCAAGTGGACCATTCAACAATCACCCCCTTCTTTCTCAATTCTCTCTACGTTCGAAAGTGAAAGAAAGAAAGAAAAAAGAAAAAAAAAGAATATCCAATGTCGCAAGAAATGGTACCCACACATAATCCCTTTCTTTTATTATTTAACCCAATTTTCCTTTTATTCATTTTATTGGAAATATTTTAATGATTTTTTATTTATCATTTTTAAATTCTTCATTATATTCGTTTTTTATTTTGGATTCTCTTAACTTTCTCAAAACTCGACTTCAAATAGAAAGACAACGAAAAATTTCTCATTCTTAATTTTGACTAAAAATAATTAATAATTTGCTAGATCCTAGTACACCAACAGAGTGGGAGAATCATGTCGCTACAATAGTACTCAATGAAGAGCAAGAGAATAACACTAATTTGGCTCAAATATTCTAATCAAGTCAAGATTTTCGAGTTTTTTTCGTTCCCCTAATAGGTACCTATTCATTAGCCAGCGAGTTCATTTTTTTATGGTTTGCTTCAATTTATTGCAAGATATGTTTCCTCGATTCGTATTCGGCCACTTAGATGTTCCAATTCGTGGAGCCTCTTACAATGTTTGATTTTACCACATGTTACTTTTGAATCACATCGAGCTAGGTATGCCGTATTTTGAGTTTATATTCCTTACCTGTTAAAGCTTAATTTATTGGATTGTATCATTTTATATCATTCGCTTCATGGGACACGCAACGAGCGGGATGCTCCCCCCATGGCACCAACCGCCGTCTGATCACCAAATAACATCACCTCCACCAGACGCCAACCATGATGGAAAATGAGGCGCTGAAAAACCCAAATCCGGACCGAGGGAGGCAGAGACGCCCGCAGCCACCTCTGGCCAACCTTCTCCGAACCAAAAACATCTCCCCAACGAACATAGCATCGAAAGAGAACAATGTGTTGAACGGGCGATCGATGACGGCGCCATACGAATGATCTTTTATCTCCAAAAACCTTAAGTCGAGTCCAAGCCAACAACAGCGGCCACATCTCCAATTCGCCCAGATCTGCAAGGCAAAACAATGAGGTGGACGAAGGGATCGAGAATGAGGAGACAAGCCAGATTTAGCTTAATCTAGCCTCCTTACTACTTAGCATGAGACATCTCCAGATCTAAACAAACAAATCAGAGGCACAAAAAATCAACCCACACAGGGGGAGGAAATAACCATAGAGGTAACGGAAAAAGCCAACAACAGCCAGAAAAACCAAACGAAAGAAAGGAAGAGCAGAAAGCTGAAAAGGAAACCGAGAAAAACGGACAGAGGGGACGATTTTTGGGCTGCCGCCGGTCACCAAATGGTGATGGCGGCGCCCGGCGAATATCAAGAGGGAAGGGTTTTAGAGAGAGGGCGGAGGACCACCAAGTCTCTCTTTTACCTCACTCTCTCATTATATAACATATGTGTTCATTTATTATCTGTCGGGTCTACATCTATTGCCCATTAGATTTCCCATAGTAGTTATTGTCTACTTAGGTTTTCATATCTTTAGGTTTTTGTCTATGATCTTCTACCCAAATCATCATATTGGCCCACCAATTCGCAACCCATCTCGAAACACTATCAACGAAATCAATGAATAATGTATGCCATGCTCGCTACTGAAGATCCATAATATATATTATGCACAATCCTCGCCTTCGCCCACTAATTCAAAACCGTCTCCAAACATTGTTGGTGGAATCCTAATTTGTACCCATCCAACGTGTCCCAAGACTACTACCGAAAACTTAATCATAATTTGTACCCATCCACCGCTCCAAAGACTACTACCGAAAAATTAATACTAAATATGCTACGTGTTGTCAAGTTTTGTATTGGGATCGAGTTTCCTATTCTTTAGAGTTTTCTTATTTCTCTTTTTTCTTTTGGTTAAGCATGACAATTAAACTCAAACTCATTGGTATCCAACTTAATTCGACCAGGTCTAAGCGAGTTGAACTCAACATTAATATTTTTAAAATTTTCTTTTTATTCTTTTGTTGAGAATGACAATTGAACTCAAACTCAAGGTATAGGCGAGTTTTGTATCAAGTGCGAGTTTTAGCCGCTTTTGTACTTGGCATGTTAGGTCGAGTGTGAATTTGTTAAGAACTTGATTCGATCGAGTAAAAGCGAGCTAAACATGGTGTTGACGAGTTTTAGATCGGGAGTGAGTTTTGTTCGCTTTAATGTTTTTTATTTCTCATTTTCCTTTTGGTTAAGAATGACAATTGAAACCAGACCTGGTGCTAACGAGTTCTGTATCGAGAGTGCGTTTTACTTGCTTTTAGAATTGGCATGTTGAGCTGAGTGTGAATTGTTAAAAACTCGGTTCAAACCAGTCAAGACGAGTTGAGCTCGGTGTGCAGAGTTTTTGGTAGGGAGTGATTTTTATCCGCTTTGGTGTTTTTTTATTTATCTTTTTCCTTTTGGTTGAGCACCCAAACCTGTAGGTATCCAACCTATTCAACCCTATCAAAACAACTTGAATCCGATGTTTACAAGTTTTCAGGCGGGAGTGAGTTTTATTTTCTTTTGTAATTGACGGGTTGGGTGGGTTGTGAATTTTTAACAAACTCGGTTCAACCCGATCAAAGAAAGTTGAACATGACGTCGCCGAGTTTTAGATCGTGAGCGTGTTTTATGTGCTTTATTGTTTGTTAATTTCTCTTTTTTTTTTTTTTTTTGTTGGTCTTCCAAAGAACCGGGCTTTTTTCGAATAAGCCAATTCATTGAGAATGAATTTGAACCCAAATTCATGTGTAGTCAACCTAATTTTATCTGGCCAAAGTGAGTTGAACCTCCTCAAAAGGAAAATCAAGATGAACTTAAAAAAAATATAGTAAAAACAATACAAACTAAAAATAGTGTTATGAGAGAAGATTAAACATAAAAATTATTTGTTTGACGACCATTTTTCGTTATTAAAGTTCATGGTTGCGTGCGTCGACTACATGGAATTGTAAATGACAAGCCCTTTAAAATATCACGTTCTCGCTCACATGCGACGCGATAGCGAGCGGACTTATGTCAGGGTAGATATAATAGATTGTAATTCTGCTTGTTTTCTGCTTCTCCTTTCTTTATCTACAAGTCAGTCCGAGTTTACTCTTAACCCAGTAACATAAATTCCGCATCCCGACCCAATCGCCCACCCTAATTCACGACTCCAGAGACTCTTTTAATTTCGGCGAACTTGTTTGATTTGCGTCCGCAAAAAACCCTTCATTCTGATCAGTAATCAAGGTAAACATTCTTCCTTACCCCCATCTAATCCCCTCTCGAATTCGTAAATCCACGATAACTAGGATCGAAACAGCAATGGCGTCGCCTTTCCAGGTGAACTCCAACGCTTTGTTCCTCTGCGGCACCGCCGAGGGAGCCATCGCGGTGGTGGACACCGTCACTGATCTCAATTCCGCTGCCTGCCCCTCCGATCAGTGGAGCATCGTCGCCGTCGCCGCCGCCGCAACCGAAACCTCCACCATCACCTCCACCATCAGCCCTAATGTCCACAACGCGCTAGAAATATTCGGCGCCGTAATCGAAGGCGACAAGCTGAACAACTTGCGCGAAGAGCTCTTCGATTCCCGAGTCTTGGTCAACCGCGACGGCTACCAGGTCAAGTACGTGGACAACCACAACACGCAGAACGCATCTGCTGCTGGACTTGTGAAGCTCAACGACGTGTTCGGATGGGCCAGGTACGGCGTGAAACGGCCGACGGAAACAGAGGCGGCAGCCGTCCCCACCGTGTGGAACCGCTACGCTGTGGCCGGAGGGGAGGTGGTGGTTGATTACATGGCTAAGGAGGCAAGGCAGAAGGAGATGGCGGCGAGGCTGGAAAAACAAGGGAGGGATTTGGAGGAAAGTAAAAAGCTTGTGAAGGAGAAGGAAGGCGAGATAGAACGGTTCAGGAAAGCTTTGGAAGAGAAGAACAGAGCAACTAAGGAGCATATCAAGATTATAAGGGAGAAAGAAGGCGAGATCGATCGTCTGAAGTACGCATTGGAAGAGAAGAATGGAAAGATTAAGGAGTATAATGGAGTTATAACGGAGAAGGAAGGAAAGATTGAGGGACAAAGCAGAGTCATAACGGAGAAAGAAGGCAAGATAAATTTGCTAAACAGAGTGATCGAGGAGCAAAGGAGAGTGATAATGGAGAACAAATGCGAGGTGAGTCGGCTTAGCAGAGCGAACGAGGGGAATCGCAGAGTTATAAGGGAGAAGGAAGCGGAGATTGAAAGAGTTAGAAGGGAGAAGGACATGGAGGTTGAGAATTTGAAGTGGAGGAAAGAGCAGGAGAAGAAGAGAATGGCTGATGAGAATAGCAGAGTTGTAGGGCAGAAGGAAGCCAAGATTGAGGAGCAAAAGAGGGTTATGAAGGACAAGGACATGGAGATTGAGAGGCTGAAGCTGATGTTGCAGAAGATGGAACAAGATAAGAAGAAGAATCATGATATGGTTAAGAAGACTGAGGAGGGTTCGGTTGGGAGCAAGAAGAAGAATGATTTCAATGCAGCTGGATTCGTTTATGAGTTGTTCTAGGCAGAGTGAAGGATTTGTTACGGTAATTTTTGTCATGGCTGATTTCGTAGTTGGATCTTATGGCACGATAGATGTTATCATTCTTATGTTATTACTCGTTTTCTTGTATTCATTCAATTTCACAAAACAATAGTACATTCTGATTGTTCCAGTGTCTTTTACACAAGCAAACCAGGGAGAATGTTCATATGGGAATTGACATATAGCAAAAAAGAGAGGGAGAGTTGGAAAGAAGAGAAAGCACAGGTCCCATTCAGCAGGACTCCTTTTTCAGCTTTCTTATGGATGGGTTAATAAACAATAGAGTAAAAGTAAAAGGGTGGTTGATCAGTTTCTGATACCATCAGCCAACTCTGCTCTCAAATTCTTCCTCAGTATTTTCCCAGATGGTGCCTCCGGACCGGAATCGACTCCCTGAAGAACACCTTACTTATTCTCTTGTAGAACACCACCTGAAATCATTCGACCAAGGCACCATTTAAGCACCTAATTACATACCCTAGAGAACATTATTAACTTTGGAGTAACTTAGTGAATCTTCTTGTTGCCTGCTTAGAGACGTACTGCTTGATTGAATCCTCAGTAAGCTCGGATTTATCCGATTTTACAACGAATGCTACTGGGATTTCCCCGGCGGCCTCATCTTTCAACCTGGAGAACAAGAAAGAATGAGAATCATGAAGAAAAAAAGAAACAAGAGAAGCAGGCTGAAGTCAAAATATATTCTTTCTTGTCCAAGTTGTGTATTACTATTACCCGACAACTGCAGCATCAGAAATCTCAGGATGGCCAAGAAGTAACCAAATTGACTAGCTAACCTTTCATGATTTGATGGCCTCGGATGCAGATCTCGCCAGGCTGGTTCCTGGGGAGAGAGGATCCGGTATCAGGGTCGACTATCTTCATCTGTGCATTCCTGACAACGGTTCCACAGGAACCCGGCTTGATCTCAAATGGTTGTTTGGCGAATGCCAGGCACATTGACAGCACTGGCTCTGCCTCTGTCATTCCATATCCCTGCAGAATCGACCAGGAAAAAAGTGGGTTTAGTCCTGAGAGCCGGATGCTTTTCTCTTCACAGTATCTGGTTCATATACAAGACATTATTAGGCTGTAAAAATGCTGGGGTGTTGTGCAATGGGGGAGCTGACAGATTTGGCAGTAGTGATGAGCAAGTAGTAGTGACTTGAATGTTGGGCGCGGATGGGGAGACTGGCGCCTGCAATCATTAATGATCTTCCACGCTGCCATTTTTTATTTATAAAAATTCCAAGTTGGTCCTCGAGCCCCATGCCTCTCTAGTCTCTACACGTTGAGCCTAATAATTTGCTGCATTGTTTTCTAATCAGCAGCTTCCACACAGCATCTTCTTATATTGATTCTTGATCAAGGTTGTCAACCCGTAAGTCAACCCGATCCTGGTCCGGTGAGAAAAACGCCGCACGTACCTGTCGTGTCGACCACTACAAGGTACCGGATTGAAGGTCAAATTCAAATTGTGTCACTTTTTTTTTTTTTTTTTTTGCGAAATGCACCTATTTTTCTTTACGCCTAACTCAATTTTTGGAATCGTACGTTGAACATTTGAATATTGATGTTATATAAGTGTGTGTGTGTGTGTGTGTGTGTGAATTTTCACTATATGTTGGATCTATGTACAACATGTTATTTTTTAGTAATATTATAAGTTATAACTCATATGTTAGATGAGATTTGATATAATTTATCAGAATAAGTACAATATAATGATTCTTTCAATATTTTCGAGCTAAACCAAACTAAAACGATTGACCCATTAACTCTTGACCCAATAGCTCAACCGAGTCTGGATAAGCCTGTGGGTTGACCCTTGACAACCTTGTTCTTGACACTCAGTATCAGTATAATAGAAAATTGCCAATAGATTACGTCAACCTTGTCGACGACATCTATGGCGTTGGAGGCTACTATTTTGGGTGGAAGCAACTCAAGAAGAACCATTTCTTTCAATCCTTCTACTTCGGCTCAAGGGTTGTTGGCAATTTGGTGCAGGCACAGCTCATCTACTAAATATATAAAGGCAAAACATGAGTTCAATTTTTAGGGATTTGAAATAGGAGGTCTCTGAGGAAATTTCGGATATCCCTTATAGTCATTTCACCTGCATAAATGAAACTGTGCGTTTTTTTATTCTACCACTCAGCTGGTACGGTTGGACATGATTGATATCCATGATGGGCCCGATTGTGAGAAAAAGACACTTCGCCCATTGACCCGTCAGTATATGTCGTTACTTGCTTCTATCACTCAGCTGAGCCGCCATAGATGGGTCCACTATGGCCCCATGATGAAATAAGGGCACTTAAGCCCATTGATGGTCAGTTATATAATTACTACTACCTGCTTTATTTTCGTTGATTGAAAGGAGAACCTCAGCTTCAATCGAACCCAATTAGCTACTCAAGGAAAAAAAAACCCAGCTACTGTTGTCTTTCTTTTCATTCCTTTACATGAAATCTACTAAATATATTAAGGCAAAACATGAGTTCAATTTTTAGGGATTTGGAAAAAGGAGGCCTCTGAGAAAATTTCGGATATCCCTTATAGTCATTTCACCTACATAAATGAAACTGTGTGTTTCTTGATTTTACCACTCAGCTGGTACGATTGGACATGACATCCATGATGATCCCGATTGTGAGAAAAGATACTTAAGCCCATTGACCAGTCAGTATATGTTGTTACTTGCTTCTATCACTCAGCTGGGCCGCCATAGATGGATCCACTATGGCCCCATTCTGAAATAAGGGCACTTAAGCCCATTGATGGTCAGTTATATAATTACTACTACCTGTTTTATTTTCGTTGATTGAAAGGAGAGCCTCAGCTTCAATCGAACCCAATCAACTATTCAAGGCAAAAAAACCTAGCTACTATTGTCTTTCTTTTCATTCCTTTACATGAAATCTACTAAATATATAAAAGCAAAACATGAGTTCAATTTTTAGGGATTTGAAAAAGGAGGCCTTTGAGGAAATTTCGAATATCCCTTATAGTCATTTCACCTACATAAATGAAACTGTGTGTTTCTTGATTCTACCACTCGGCTGGTACGGTTGGATATGACATCCATGATGGGCCCGATTGTTAGAAAAAGACACTTAAACCCATTGACTAGTCATTATATATTGTTACTTGCTTCTATCACTCAGATGGGCCGCCATAGATGGATCCACTATGGGCTCATTTTGAAAGAAGGGCACTTAAGCCCATTAATGGTCAGTTATACAATTACTACTACCTGATTTATTTTGGTTGATTGAAAGGAAACCTCAGCTTCAATCGAACCCAATCAGCTACTCAAGGGGGGAAAAAACCCAGCTACTGTTGTCTTTCTTTTCATTCCTTTACATGAAATGGCACACATGTTTCGACGGGGGATTATGGCTTCTTGAGCACCTATTGGTCATTATCAATCTGTAAAAGTTGGATTGGGTCAAACATCCTAGAAAATATGTTATGCACTCAATATTAATTGTTATGGTACTTTCTCTATACGCGAACAAGAATATTGAGATTTTTTTTGTCGTCCTATGTACAATTGTAAAGTTCATTTTATTTTTTATTTTTGTGGGTCGAAATAATGTCTTTTTCTGTCATAACTATGCGAGTAAATTATTTTATTGTCTTTTATGATTAGGGTCATGCGGTTTTTTATGCTTTGCTATTGTTCGAATCTGAATTTGGCAAGCACATTCTTTACATGACAATAAAAAAGAAATTCCAGTAATATAATTACCTTAGCCAATTTCCATGTTGTGCTCTGACCTTCAGTTCATTCTTTTGAATAATAGATTTGGTTGGTGAAGTTCATCATACGCAACCAATGATTCAACTGTGTGAAGAATTTTTCACGAAAAGTTCAAAAACGTGTTCCTACAACTATTGGAGTTAGTTCTCTCACCTTTCTTCGGACTTAATATTTTGTAGCCATTTTATTGTCTTGTGTCCATCTCACTTGATAACCTCATGTGTATTAGGGCGTTGATCAGAATGGTACTCAAAGACCCTTTTGATTTTTAAACTTAAAGTTGTAATGCCCAATCAACCTCAACTTGTTTTTGTTTATGTACTTACTTCAATATATGTGTAAAATCACATGGTAAGGTAAGCCATACCTAATGGATTTCTACTTTTCACCACTTACATTTTCATTCCACCCTTAATAATATAATCCATCGACTAAGTTTTTTTTTGTTTATGTACTTACTTCAATATATGTGTAAAATCACATGGTAAGGTAAGTCATACCTAATGAATTTCTACTTTTCACCACTTACATTTTCATTCCACCCTTATTATAATATAATCCATCAACTAAGTTGTTTCATTGTTGATAGGGAAGTACTACTTGATGTATCCCCTGCGTCTAAAATATATTTCAACTTGAATTATCCTTTATTGCACCCTTTGTTAAATCCGTAAGTGTTTTTTTTTTATTCATAGTACACTTATTTACATACTCATGGTGATGGTTGTGTATAATTAACTTAGTTATGTGTCATTTTCTGTATCAAACTCAGGATAATGAAAAATAACACTAAAGAAGACTCTTATGAAGTTCTTAAACAACGTGCAAATATTGGTTCAATTGTAGACTTAAGGGTTCAATTATTTGTACCAATACGCAAACTACTACGGGAGGTTGGATAATCATTTTCCAAAAGTTTAAGGGTGTCCCACTACCACTTTGCTTTTATGCAAACTACTATTAGAGGTTGAATAATCGTGTTTCCAAATTTTAGTGGTGTCACATGCATGTATCCGGCGTTGTCCTTGTCTTAGTGTAACTTTGTAAACCTAGGGCTCGAGCCGTATAAGAGGGATGTAGGTCGTTCGGCCATTGTAACCTTGTCTCAATAATAATATCTCAGTCGGAGAGGCTGTCCTCTCCAGTGGATTAGTCTTGGCAATCAATTGACTGAGGATACCACGTAAAACTTGTGTGTTCTTGTCTACGTGTTCACGATTTGTTATGGTATCAGAGCACCGGTCTTGTTAAATCGTTTGTTGCGTTCCTGATCGATCGTTTTCATCATGTTGTGTATTTCTCATCCAAATATCATCGAAATCATTCATCATGACTTGAAACACACAAAAACCACAAACCAATCGTAAAAGTGGCCAAAACATAGGATTATTGTCGAAATGACCAAAGCAAAGAGGGTTAAAAAGGATCCAATACATGAATCCCACCACACATCAGAATTTTAACACCACCAATCTGGAAAATGAAGATGGGTGGGAGGAGAAAGATCAAGGAACTCCATGATTGCATTATGCTTTATATTTTGGGGTGATTTGTTAATTCGTTAAGATGATTTGGTTTAAAATAACTATGATTGTGGATTGATAACAAGTGTTATGGTTTTCGATTTCACATATGTGTGACTATTGTGAGGTGTGTTATTATGTTTTGGTGTCACTAATTATGCTGTTAAGAAGTTATGGATTCCCTCTACTATGATTGTGGATTGAATTTGTGGATTTTTACGGTAGTTTGTTAGATTTCTATAGGTGTATGATATTGTGGGTGCAATAATGACAACCAATCGAAATTTAAAGGTTGACTTAAATAAGCAAAATCTCAAAAAATTGTCATCTCATTTTCTAGTAAGCGTAGATCTTTTATTTATAAAGGTCGCGTGTATAGCCAACACTTATCCTATTCACTTCTCTTAGTTTGAGTGAATTTTTCTTTTGGGTAGACCTTTCCATTTAGATGGTCGACCACTTTGTTGCTATGGTTGACCTCGTTATGGGAATGGTCGACCTGTTATCTTATAATCCCTTAAAACGGTTGACCTTTCCTTGTTAGAGGTCGACCGTTGTCTTCCACCAGAATGCCTATATTAATGTAATCTGTTGGCCTCAGCTTTATACCGACTCACCATAGGCTCACCCTAAATTTTAAAGGTGAGAGAAATTAGTTTCTCATCATCACTTTGATGTTTTGGTCATTGTTTTCATTGTAAATTTTTGGATCATGCTACGTCTTGTGACATAAAAAGATCCTCTCATCAAAGTTCTACTAATCGTCGATTACCATGTTTTTCTTGTTTCTCAACTTTCTAAACTTTGATTTAAAAAAAAAGAGTAATGTCTATTTTTTATCCAAACATTATTCAAAATTCTTTAATATTATCAAAACTATTAAAATGCTATTAATTAGCCAAAACTTTCATAATGCATCAAAATATTAGCCATTTTTACATTATCGTTAATAATTTTGTAACTCTTTTCTTAATTAAAATACTAAAATTTTGGAATGTTGACCTTCATGTGTCTCTTCCAAGTCAGTATCATGTTGCCAAGTCAATATTACTAACAAAATTACTAACTAAAAGTTAACATTCGGCTGATGTGTGTGGTAAGATCAGGAGACGGGCTGAAGAGGAGAATGCGCTCAACTTTCACTTTGTGGGCCGAGAAGCAAACAGAGCGACCGCCCATACCCTGTGTCATTGGGAGGAGGAGGAAATTTGGTCTGCCAGACCACATAATTTTCTCATTCCTATCCTCTATGCTAATTGTAATTCATACTTTTTGAACCATTAATAAATGATACAAGTATTTCCAATAAAAAAAAAGTTAACATTTGGCTAATTCTTAATATTCCGATAGATTTAAATAATTAAAAGAACATGAAAAATGTTTAATAAAAAATAAACATTACCCTAAAAAAAGTTTGGGCAAGATCAAAATTCATGGCCCAAATCACAAGCAAATGAATGATATAGGAATCAGGAATTAGTAAATAAGAAATTACCGCTACTGAAATTACTATACACAGTAAATTAAAGAATTCAATCTCTCCCAACTAAATTTCTAATCTCCACCATCTTGACATTTACATTTCATAAAAAAAAAAAAAATTGGCATGATCCTCAAGTCATCACTCATCACAAGCAAGAACTAAGAAAGAAGCAAAGTATAGAAACGCACAAACCCTATTGTGAGATCCAGAAAAAAGAGAGAGAGAGAGAGAGAAATCAGACCCTATTGGGAAAATCTGAAAAACACATCTCCTAACTAATAAATTGTTACCTACCTAGCGACATGAACGGCCAGCGGCACCAGCTCCGACAACGGAGAAGCCAGCGGGGTGGGACCGGGGGACGGGGCGGGAGAAGTCCGGCAGAGAGGACACGTGGCGGTCACCCGGAGCCACTCGTCCACACAATGCGCGTGGAAGCAGTGGTTGCACTCGGGGATGCACCGCAGCGTGTCCTTGGGCCGGTAGTCGGACAAGCAGATCGAGCATGGGCCGCCGTTGTTGGGCCTGGGCAGCCGCTTGCTCTCCCCCAATAAAATCTTGGGCAGCGACTCGATCGACGTCCGATCCAGCCCGGCCACGAACTCCGCCGCCGCCGACTCCGACGAGGAGTTGTCGCGGCGGAGCTGGTGGTGGAGCTGGTACCGGTAATCGCTCACGACGACATCGTCGTCGTTTCTGTTGCTGTCTCTGGAACCATGGGCGCCGCTGCTGCTGGTCTTGAGCCTGACGCAAATGTAGGAAGCGAGCATTATGGTGGAAATGAGGACGAGGAAGCTGACGGCGATGGCGATGCCGTAGCCGAGGCCGACGCCGGCAGGCGAGACCGGCGGATCGGCGGTGGACATGAGAGAGAGAGAGAGAGAGAGAGAGAGTGGGGGGAAAGTGGAATGATGTAGTTATGAAAGCGAATGGATGAGTGGGGATGGAGGGGAAGCCTTGGGATTGATGTTCAACGCTTTGAGAATGATAGAAGATTCAGATGTACAGTTGTAAAATTGCAATTAATAAGGGAAGGGAGAGGAGGGCGATGGTTATTAAATACGTTACGTAGGAAAAATAGGCGAATACATTAATGAAACAGCGCCTGAATTTCAGCTTCACTGTTCCTAATTGTTTACTCTGTTGATAATGTGTAGATTAGATAAGTGTTTTTCTTCTTTAGTTGACTGGAAGTAACCGTTTCAAATGGTTACCATGAACTCGCAATTTATATATATGTAATAAAACATAACAATCAATATATTTTATAGTGAATCCTTAACATAAATACATGCAATTAATTAATACAATTATTTTACCGTCAATAGAAGTATTCATCTAACAAAAATGCATACAATGGTATGAAGTTAATGAATTGTTTTGTTTGTGTGAATTGACTTTGTCTTAGCAATTATCATATATTGAAAAAGACATAGGTAGATCTCGAAAAGTTATGCGGAATAAAAGGGAAAAAATTTCGCTACGGTCGGATACCCGAACACAAAGATACGTTCGTTTGAAGTTTCCACCTAGGTTAGGATTTATCGAATTACTAAAACATGTCACATTTAGTCACTCTCCCGTTAGCCTCCGTTCAACTCCGGTCACTCGAATTACTTTTTTTTTATGATAGTCACTTGAATTACTGAAACATGTCACATTTAGTCACTCTTCGTTAGCCTACGGCCAACTCAGTTTGATGGTATGTCGAGTGATGTATCGAAACGAAAGGGAGAGCGACTAAATGTGACATGTTTTAGTAATTCGAGTGACCAAAATTGATATTAATTTTTTCTAGTGACTAAACATGACATGATTTAGTAATATCAGTGACCAAATGTGGCATTTACCCAAATAAATTATATGAACCAAACCATTGGATAGGGCAGCGGTTTTGGACCAAACCGCCCCTGACCCAAGCGGTCTAAAACCGCCCAAACCCCAAGCGGTTTTCGTGTAAACCGCGTGGTGGGGTGGCGCTTTTTTTAAAGGGTGCTATTTTTGAAATTTTTCGGGATTGAATGCTATTTTTGTTAAAACAAAAATAAACAGTGTTGTTTCTGGGGAAAAAAATCAGATATTTTATGCACTTCAAAAGCACTAATAGGCTTACCCACATCAGTCACTCCAAAACATATTTGGCTAAAATGTTATCGGTTCTCAAAGTGAGAATGTGCTCACAGTAGTATATAGCTATTTGGTCAACATTTGGACACTTAACATCCGTTGAATGGATGCAGTGACGATTTCATAAATAAAATGTTATCACATTCATCTAACAATTGTGAACCATCTAACCATCGAATTGGCGATAGTGCGCCATGTGAGCACCATAATTGCGTTGACCCAAAACTCACCGAACACATGACTAGACAACAATGTCACATTTAGAGCACGAAGGAAATAAGAAAGAAAGAGGCCATAGATTCGGAGTTGGGAGTGCATTGGCGGCAGATGGAGAAACGGAAAGAGCAAAATTCCAACTAAGAATTTGGGTCAGGATACATGAGATTGAGGAATCCTAAGAAGCCCAAGACGTAACCATGGTTTCTCAAGTTTCAACTTACTTAGGACGTGACACGCAAGCCACTTGCTACGCTTCCATTTCGCACCACACAAACTTCCCACCTCAATCCGAAAACTGGAAGGACCCTCTCTCTCTCTCTCTCTCTCAGATCGCTGGAGTGGGGTTTCGATTTCCCCCGTTCATTTCTGCCAGTCCAGCTGTTGAATCAATTCCTATCGGACTGTCGAGGTGAAGTCTAGGAAGGGAGAGAGGGAGAAAGGTCATGGCTTTGGCAAGCGCTTCTTCTTCCCAGGCAATCATATCATCAGCCAACGCCTGCTCCTTCACAGCTTCAAACAGGGGATGGCCCAGATTCCAGAGCGGCAGGCGGCCAAGTTCGAAGCTTTTCACCGTCCGAGCTTCTTCTTCCGAGGTCGATTCCGATTGCAACACCGAAGAATGTGCTCCTGAGAAGGAGGTGAGAGTTGGGCTCTATCCAAAATCGATAATTTATCCCTTCTTTCGCAAAACAAGTCTGCAGTTTTTTGTGCTTCTCTCGTTCGTGCCTGTGAGGTGTTTGTTATTTTGTCTAGCAGAGAATTTAGTGGCTGATGCGATTCAGCGATTGCTGTTTGTGGTCTGTGGGTTGGGATTCGTTAGGTTGGGAAGATAAGCATGGAGTGGAAGGCCGAGGAGAAAACCAAAGTGGTGGGCACATTCCCACCTCGCACTCGCGGTGGTCGGCAATACACAGGCTACGTCGAGAAAGATACCGCCGGCCAGACCAATATCTACCCCGTCGAGGTACTGTTTGTGAATCGTGCTACACTTGTTGTGTCCCTATAGATAACATGAACCATCCAATTTCAATTTTCAACCCTTATTTGGGTGGTTGTTTTTCTTTTGGGCTCCAGCCGACGGTTTATGTAGCCGAGAGCGCTATAAGTTCCGGGGCAGCAGGTTCTTCATCCAGCGGTGCAGAAAACACAGCTGCAATCTCCGGCGGACTTGCCCTGATTGCCATCGCTGCAGCTTCGTCGATTCTGCTTCAGGTCAACAAGAACGCACCACCGCCTCAAGTGCAGACAGCTCAATACAACGGTCCATCTTTGACATACTACATCAACAAGTACAAGCCACCGGAGGTCGTCCAAGCGGCGGCGGTGCCGACGGAACCGGAGTCTGCTACGCCACCTGTGCAGACAGAATCTGCTGCAACAGAAACAGATTCCGCTGCATCAGAAGCTCCTCAGGTAGAGGTTAAGTCAGAGATCCAGCCAGAAGAATCTTCAACTGCAGCCGAGAACTCTGCGTCTTGAGGCTAACCAAGTTTTGCTCGATTGCCACCAACTTTTATCACACCTATACCCAGCTGATGTATAGATAATTTTATCATTGTATCTTTCGTATCGTGAATGAGAAGAAGCAGAGATTATCGTGATATGCAGTGTGTTGTTTATTCGTTTTTAGTTCGTTGGATTAAAAGATATCTCCAACAACAAATTAGGTTCATGTTTTGTCACTTCACTTCCAATCTTAAATCTTAGACCTAATTCTGTTTCTGCAATTCGTCTATTGTAGGGGAAGTAAATAGGACACATTAATTGATGAAACCAGTGATGAAGAATGGTTTTTGCAAGGACCTTACCTGATCATTCATCATACATGGTGGCCATTCTCAAACTTGATCATAGTCTCCTAAAAGCACGTAGCTACCAGTTCAAAGGGAAGATGTAATGGGCGTCTTGCCCAACAAAAATACACAGATGAATACACCAAATTTCACAAGCAAAATGGATGGCGGTAAAGCTAGAATACAGACCTCCCATTGTGTTGCAGAAGTATAAAGGCGTAGTAGCAGATGACCGAGATGGCGGTGCCTGGTAAATAAGTGAACAAAATCTATTTGGACTGGTGGTTCTCGAAGTTAGCAGGGTTTCATGCACTTCCCTGAGCTAAGGTGGAGATGCCAAACTTTGTATACATCAGCGATTTTGCCAGATTCTGTCACCAAACTACGGTCTCTCACGCATTTTTGCCCTGGCGAAGAATACTCCAGCCACCAAACCTGAAGAGAAAGGAGGGCAAAACGTTGTTTAGAAGTGACATTCTGCATATGCGGAGAGAGAGAGAGAGAGAGAGAGAGAGAGTACAAACCGAAGAGGATGCTAGCAGAGTTCTCCAAGCTTGTAGGTACTTTAAACAACAGGATGCCAGCAAGAGATAGAGGAATCTTGTTCAACGATCCAACTAGGCTGCAGAGATTTCCAACCCAAAGAAAGAAAATCGATGACGAAACATGATACCTTAGTTTGGTGTGTAGCAATCCACATTCACTATTTGTATGTTACCTGTATGTGGTAGCCCCAGTCTGGTGAAGAAACCACATAGAAGTGAAGCTGATAGCAAGACCCAGGAACCCACTCAATGTCATTACTAGCCAGAAGACTGGTAATCTCAAAAGGGGACTGTTGATATGAATTCGGAAAATTAGTTACATGAAGCAAATGCTCCTTTGAGGAATATGAAACAATAACTGAAGAAAGGGGGTTTAGGAACGCGAGTTCAGAATCGATTTAACCAAACACCATTTTCCCACCGCTGGAAAAAACTAACTTATGAAAGGTGACGTTGGAGAAGAAGAAAGAAGGAAACTCACGTTGTGGTGAGGTAGTCCACCTCATTGAATACAAATATGAGAACAAGGCCCAGGGGAAGAGAAAGAGTGTTGTTGAGCATGACCATTGAGAACTCGTTTAGGTTCCCAGATCTGGTAAGTTGCTTTGCAGTGTCCATCACCCTACGTAGAGTGAGCTGCAGTAACAGTAGAGAATGAGAATCACAAAGAGAACAGTCACCAGACTTCCAACAAATCATCACTAATTTCCCCCCTTCTACATTGGAGTTCAGAGATTCAAGTTTTTCACTGCAGATGAGGTAGGACTTGTATGACTTACTTAGCTAAGTATTTCACCAAAGCCTTTGACTTATGTACTCACCGAATATGATGCAGTCAAAAAGCAGTTTATGATTTGCCATGTGTAGCCAACGGCATGAAAAGATAGATCGGTGAGGCCTCCAGAAATGGCTGAAACAATCTGCAACCAGCAAAAATTTATGGTCTAGTTGGACCATTGAACAAAATTTATGGCTGAAACCTTCAGCAGAGCCATACATGAGAAGTGACTAAGTCTAAGAAGGTCATCAAGAATTTTATCAAATCTATGGTCATCCCATATTGAAAGCAGAAAGAAAGGAGATTATGAGGCTTCAGTGTAAGGGGAAATTTTGAACGATGATCTTGCAAAAGCATCCAAAAAGTTATTAGTCTCTCCCAGGCTCTCCACTCTTAACACTTTCTTCAATCCCCTTTTCTTCCCAAAAATGCATTTAGGGAAAGAACATACCATTAAGAATAAAGCCACCCACACTCTATTATCATGGTGCTTCTGGAATAGATACATCTCGCCTACTGCAGTGATAACATTAGTCACGTTCTTCAAAACTGTGACCATGGCGACATTGATATACTTCAAACTGCAACATCACACAAAACAACAGTCAGGAACAAGATTCAAAACGAACCATCTTTCCTGTGGGAAAAACTAACTCTCATGATGATGAATTACCACACCTAAACATGCTTGTTATGAGCATTCCGACAAATATGACATTAACAGACAACCAGACTTTGATTAGTCTCCATGTTAGTGGTTCTGTTGAGATTATACCCAGGAAGCTCAACGTTGATACAATGATTACTGAAATAAAGTTCTGCATCATGCGAGAAAGGCACCATGAGTTGGTCAGAAGTACACTAAAAGACAATTACTCCTAGTTTTGGATTGATTTAGTTTCAGAATTTCACCTGGTACAACATCAAAGATATACCAGCATTGAAGTTATAGCTGGAAAGCACAAATTTGTTGACCAGTATCATGCTGCAGGAAGAAATACAATATGCTAGGCCAGCTAATAAAGCCTGATTATGCACCATAAGTTTGTTACTGCGTATAACCTTATCTACAGGCTTTTCTGACTTTCCATCTTCCAAATCAATCTCTCCATTTTCATGTGACTTCATTGCAAACGGTGACCTGTCCCCACAGAAAATAAGACATCAGACTGGAACTTATTATTGCAGATTAAGCTTTATAATACCAACAAACAACGAGAGTACAAGAAGCAAATTTCTACATATGAAACTGAGAATCCCTTTTTTCATAGGTATACTAGTATGTCCAAACTGTGAGTAAGTACAGCAGTGCACAAAGATTCTGAGTCATTAGATTGACCTTTACATTAAATAAAATTATACTGAACATCCATTCTAAGCAAAGGCTGACCTAATTGAACGTTTCCACACAAAATATGAGTATGAGTACCTGTTGACTGCCTCTCTTCTCACTGGACTAGACCTCTGCTCTACCACCAAACTGGACTCGTGGTTTTTGAAGCTTCCTCCACCTCGGCTAACTTTACCAGCTCCCTCTACCAGATCTCTTTCATAAAGAGAATCAGGAGTATCGACGGAAAGAGACCTACAACAGATAAGCAGTGGAATCAAATGACTCCCATAGAAGCAGAGGCTAAAAAGTTTCCTTTCTCCTGGTTCTTTTAATTAATAAACTAGTTTTTTAGCCCGTGCTCCGCAACGGGTATCTATTATGTTAATACTTTGGAAGTTTTAACGTGTTAACAATCTTTTAATCCAAGTACTCACACTGCAAAAACGTGTGCGCCAATATTATGAATAACTGAAGTAATTACTTCGAACAAAATAACAATATCATAATCTAAATGTTCAAAAGGTAGTGTTTGTGCTTTGAGGGAAAGAGAAAACAAAATCTCTATATACAAATACAATTATAAAATAGAGTTAAAATTGTTCTTAGCATGGCGGTAACTTGTTCTCCATGATTGACAATGAAGTTCCTTTTCCTGACAGCTTGAACATCTGAAAACACAGACTCATGGAGGTACAATACGAATTGCTTGTTGGTGATCTAGAGAGAAAATGAATTATTCAAAATCAATAGTTAGTTAAGAGCATGTGAAGAATAAGGGAAAATATATTTATTGATGAATTAAATTACACAATTTTATCCTTAAACAATACCGTTGTGAAAAAAATTTCTTGCTTTATGATGAATATTTTCAGCTGAATAGTAGTGTTATTTCGCACTTTATATAAACTATTTTCACCACCAAATTAACCTTGTATCCTCAATTTATTCTCAAGTTGGTTCCTTCACAAAATTTGTTCGGAGTCTCGACTTAACAATTGAATTATTCATTTTTCAAATGGATGCATCAACTCTTTCTAATTAGCAAATGTAACAGTTCTCGCAAATCATTAAATCATTAATCAATTCTTGATGGGTGTGTCGGTGTTTATAGTCTTCATTTTCTAATTAAGAATTAAAAGCTATTAAAGACAAATCTGCAATTCTGCAAAACGGCAACAAAGAGAACGGTAGCAAAGAGCAAAGAACCTAAAAACAACATCGAAGGAGCCAAACATGCATACAACAACAATCCTTTGTACAGCATACTCTCATAATTTTGTCAGCTTAACTGTTTCTCTATTCAGCTTGGTAGAATGCTAAATTGTTATACATACTTGTTTTAAAACTCTGGTTCATGATCATCCCTTAAATAGACAAACCAAAGTTGCATAGCAAATTACCATTGTGAAATGAGAAACATGTATTCACAAAAGCAACAACCGAGCCCTCTGGTTTGATCACGTCAACACTTTGACATGTTACTGCCTAACACTTATAGATAGCGGCTGGCAGGACAACTGAAAATATAACAAATAAATGAAACTTTTCTATAAATAAGAACCCAAATGTATAAGAAACACATAAACCCCAAGCTTAGCAGAGCAAGTGAAACTTTTCTATATCAAGATGATGGTTAATGTGTTCCGCTAGTCTCTACTTAGGTTAGAACCATAACAGTCGACAAAATCTTGATTAGTGATGGGATAATCATCATTGTCACTCACAAAACCTTGATATATAATTCCAATATATTAATCAACCAGCATATACAACCAATACCAAGAGCCAAATATAGTGAACTGGATCTAATTTACCTGAAATTCAAATCAAAGAACACCATTATCAAATTCTAATTAACTAAGGCCACGCTGCTGCTATTTGCTTCTCTTGCCTTCAGCTTTTGGTGCATATCAAGAAGCCAAATCGGATGCACATACAGTAATTACTAAATGTATTTGACACATGTGGTTAATAGATCAAGAATTCAAGATCCAAACTTTACCTTGGTTGCATACCTCCCATTAATGAACTGCTCTTCACCAAGTCTGATTGTTGGTTCGAATGGAGCAGAGGAAAAACGTGGTCCAATTTGTCATAACTTGCATCCAAAATAACAATTCATCCAAGCAGAGCAAGAATCATGATTCATATAAGGAAAGAGCATAATCCACCCAAACCAAGTTAAGCAATCTAAAACATAAAGAGCTGGTAAAGTAATCTCAGTCCATAGCCAACTTTCATATTCATAAGTACAGAGCTTTGTGCGTTCTAATATCAGTTAGTACCAAGACAAACCACTGCTGAAAATAGATTTTTCAAACTTCTAAGGATAGTGTGTGAACTGGCCTATGAAGAGAGCTCACCAGGTGGTTATCTTCACTGCCACCATAATGGTAAGCATCGAGCTAGCCCTCTGCCGAGCATTGGCCACAAATAAACGTCCATTGCCGGAGAATGTCTATTCATTATTCCTTAGTCTCTTCCAGGAGGCCTGTCGTAGATATTTCCTTGCTTATAGACCTCTCGAAGTCCACTCAGCTTCTCGACTCATGATTGAATGGAGTCTGGCTTGGAGATTCTCGTCTACAACCCAAGCTTAACCTGAAACCCACTTATGATTCCATCCTATCATACCCAAAAAGACCTCATAGGTCTTCCAAAATCAAGAGAAGTCGAGGGCATGTAGGGGAAAAACATCAAACTAATAAGTACATTAAGAAGAAATAACAGTAGGTGACCACTATCCGGGGGAATTAAAAAAACAAACATGCTCTAACTAATCAATAACAAACCTAAAAAACCTCACAAGTGTTTCTGTGAAAAATCACAGTAGTGATGGTGATTCCTCTATTCTTCTCCTCATAGACTTTTGTCAATCTCATCAAAAGCAATTGACTTTGTTAATCTCATGAGATTGACAACTTCCCTAGCTCTACCAACCTCCTCTCTGTTGTAATATTACATGATCACTTACAGGAAACCTACTGCAACAAAGAATACCATGCTAATTACACATACAGGAACAAAGAAAATAATGCCTCTCTGTTGTATAATTATGCAGATGCACTAATCTCATTATCAACATAACTCTAACTAAGTAAAATGAGAACACTTGGATTAAAAAAACCAGCCCACATCATTCATTATCGAACTCAAAAGGTTTGAGTTTTATCATTTCCCTAGAACTCTAGTCATAAGAAGATATTCAAGAATTCAATCTATAAAGTCGATTTGAATAAGAATTTGAAAACCTAGTTTGCTTGGAAGTCCAAGAGGTAACTCAATGTATAGGAATCTTTTATGAGCAAACAAACGATTGATTATAGGGACAAACCACATAGCTCTATCGCCACCCACCACAATGAATCTCAAATCAAAATCCACATCCTTGATATCCATAAACCATGGTTCTGTTATCCCTGAGTTCATCCAGCCAAAGGGTGAAATGAAACAGGGTTGTCAAAAACAGTGTCAATTTATTTAGATATCTATTAGAAAATAAAGGAATCAAATTGGTTTCGAGCTTAGCTATTTGCGGTATGGAACATACACGGGAGAAGATATTGATTAGTAAAGAAGTTAGAGGATTCAAACAATAGCAAAATTAATTAATATTTCTAACAGTACAAAGCCAAGTTGTGTACTCACCCAATTCCATCAACTCTCAACTGGGGAAATCTTTGCCTGAGTTTCGGAGATGTGGAATTACTTTGCTCCGCTGGTCTTGTCGTCCCGATGTATGGAAGAAGTAGGAGAGCAAGAGGCTTGGCTAGAAGGAGACAGGTCGAGGCGGCGGCGGCGTGGCCGTGAGGGCTTGAGCTCACTCATGCCTGCTTGCTTCAACTTAATCAAGGGAGGAAGGAGACAGATTGAGGAGCTGACAGCGAGGGCGAGGGATTGAGTTCTCTCATGCATACTTCCGTTGAATCGAAGAAGGAAGGAAAAGCAAAAGAGGGAGGGAAAATAGAGGTGGACACGACAGAGGAGGGGTTGCGGCATCCGATGCCGGCGACCACACAATCTGGGTAGCTCCTCTTGAATCGTCAAATCAGACTCGCCGCCGCTGTCGAGCCCTTGGTTTTGGTTTTTGATTATGAGGGCGGAGAACAAATTGGAGAGTAGGAATGGGAAAAGACAGAAGGAGAGAGAGAAAAGAAACCGCAAGGGAGAGGAGGTTTAGCGGCAGTGATCCAACGGTTGGGAATTCTATATCCAATGGCTACCGCTTGGCAAACCCAAAGTGGTTTTACATGGGATTCAATAAAAACGACCACAGTCTATCAATGGCCCACCATGAACAGTAATCTCCGAAAATTTCTTAAGGAACAGTAACTCCGAATTTTTTGGGACTTGAGACTTAATAATTCTAACTAATTTTTGGGACTTGAGACTTAATAATTCTAATGATTTCACCTTTACCATAGAAGCAGAGGCTAAAAATCCAGATAAATGCACATTGTTAGAAGAAGGACCATTTGAGTTCATTACTCAGGAACTTGAACTATCATTGACAATGAAAAGCGAATTATCGTTGCTCATTCATAAAGAGTCAATCTTCAGCATGGGATTTTTGGTCGACTTGAGCATTCCTCTACCAAGCCAAATAGGGAAGTATACAAGACCATAGTTTCATTCCCGGATTTCTAATTCAACTCTCTTCAAAGTTCAGACCAATTATATGCAACCACACAGCTTTTCTTCGTCATTACATTAGAGTATCAATGAGAGATTCTCCGCCATCAAACCATGACCAATTCCAACACCATGGAGACTCCATTATTTCCTTCTCGAGAACCGTTAAATTAGGGGGGAAAGCATTTTTAACTGAAAAAACTTTCACTAACCACAACCCAGCTGGGAATCAATCCGAAGGCAATGGCTCAAGCAGCCCCTAGAAAAATATGAAAGGATGATTATATGAACTCTGAAGCATTTCAAGCAACCAACTTTCAGCATGAACATGGAGTATCTACCATCAGTCAAAAGACCAGACCAAAAAGACCATTGGGGATTCGTGCTTTTGATTCATTCGAGGAAGAAATCGAACAAAAAGTGCAAAGGTTACTAGAAACAGAAAGACAAAATAAATTACCTTGTACCCATTAAAATTCAAAAGTTCAGCATTTCAAGGTCCAGAAGAAGTACCGGGCGGGCAACCAGACTTCAATTGACCAAAATCTCCCGCCAACCCAGTTGACCTCTGAGAAGCCGATGATTAAGAATGAAGAAAGCAAGGAAATTTCAGGGTACTAATCAAGAGAGACACTTGTGGATAAATGACACAAATATTGTTTTTTTTTTTAATTTACCACCAATATGGCGGATTAAGAAGTATTTACAGAGATATTGTGTTTTGGACACACAAAATGGCGACAACACCTGGGACTTAGGCGCCGCCGCTCTGGATGATATTTTGGATTAAGAGACAGCGGCGGCGCCGAAGAGTCAGGCGGCAGCGCCGGTGAGTCCAGCGAGTTAGGTAAGAAACTGTCCCAGGTGGCGGCGCCCGAGACTAGAGTGGCGGCGCCTGAGTCATCAGCGAGTTAGGTAGCCTCCCCCCTATATAAAAACCCAGCCAATTCATTTCAGTTTCACACCACAAAAAAATCGTTCAAAAAACAAAGGAGCTTTGGAGCTCTGGTTGCTGCTGCAAAAATGGCTAATAGGTAAGAGAGCATTTATTTTTGTAATTATATTATTCAAATGTTATTATGATTGTGTTTAGTTTTAATTAGTGAGTCTGTTTTTTTGTAGTGATTTTAGAAGATTTGAACTAGTCGTTCGATGGAAATCGGAGAAAGTAGAAGATAATTTGGGCGTCAAATTCGTTGGTGGTAGTAGTTTTCAGATGACGATTCCATCCAGGGTCACATATCATTATCTTTGTGAGAATCTAATTCCGAGAATACGGCGTAGAGACGAAGCAGTACAAGATAGTGATGTGATCACAAGTTTCATTTACCGTCTTCCAGAATGGCAGAATGGTGTTTTATTTCATTATGCAATGCCTATTGTGGATGATGATAGCTTGAATGTGCTTTGGAATTTTATGGCACAAAATCCTTATTGTTTGGGTGCTGAGATACATGTTGAGCTCAGTGAGGATCAGGGTGGAGAGGTAGAAGATGATACATGGAGCGTGCCATCCGATCATGCCTATGGTGACGGTGATGACGGAGAGGAGGAAGATGAGGAGGAGGAGGAGGAGGAGGAAGAGGGGGAAGAAGTGCCTAATTATCCTCCATATTTTTACTTGCAGGGTAATGAAGAGGACGAAGAATACTCACTTGTTGATTCATATGGCGTAATTCCAATGCATATTGTTGATAGTTTTGAAGGAGAATTCTACAAGGGGCAGATATTTCACTCGAAACAAGCTGCACAGATGGCGATTAAACACCACGCACTACAACGCAACTTTCAATATGGCGTGGTGGAGTCGTCACCTTCAATCTGGAAGGTCAGATGCTTGAGGCACAAGGATGACAATTGTCCTTGGATGGTGCGGTTTGGATGTCGAGATGCTGGAGGCGAATGGACTGTGAGAAAGGCTGAGTTGGTGCATTCTTGTAGCAGTACGACTCAACCGACGGATCATCGCCATCTTGATGTCGACATGATATCTGAGGCCGTCAAACATTTGGTACGTGCCCAACCAAATCTGAGTGTTCTAACTGTGCAAGCTGAGTTGAAAGATAAGTTTAATATGCAAGTTACTTACAAGAAGGCTTGGTATGGGAAACAAAGAGCATTGGAGAAGTTGCATGGAAATTGGGAAGAATCCTACGATTTTTTGCAGACATTCTTGCGGGTAGTCAAGAGAAAAATGCCAACATCGGTGATTGATTGGGTAAGAGTTCCTTCGACTCAACCAGGTCATTTGATATTTCAGCGAGTATTCTGGGCTTATGGACCTTGTATAGATGGATTCAAGAATTGTCCGGGCGTCATGGTTGTTGATGGAACATTTCTTACTGGGAAGTATAAAGGAGTGCTACTCATGGCGAGCTCATTTGATGGTCGGAAGAAAATTTTTCCAATTGCATTTGCCATAGTGGAGAGCGAGAATACTGAGAGTTGGCCATGGTTCATAAGGAACGTTCAGGGTTTGACTGATCGAAATGATGTATGCATCATCTCAGATAGACATGCAGGACTCTATGAAGCCATGAATAACATCGGAAGAGGTTGGGAGTGGAGGTGGTGCATGCGACACTATGCAAGCAATTTGCAAAGGAAGACTAAAAGCAGAATTATGTATAAGCAACTATTTCGAGTCGGTAAGCATTCTTCATTTAATTATGTTATTTATTTTCATGTAATTTTGTCATGAATTTATCTAACCCGTGTGATTGTTTATTTTGTTAGCTGGAGAAAAACGGTTGGAGAAGTTCGATCGTCAAGTTGAGCAATTTAAGAAGGTGGCCAGTGATAGAAATATTTCATGTGATAACTGGGTGGATCAACATCAGATTCGTTGGAGTTTAGCACATGATAACTACAACGGTGGGCGTCGTTGGTCTATGCTGACATCCAACATGGCAGAAAGCATCAATGGTGTTTTCAAAGGTATTCGTGCACTTCCTATAGCTTCTCTTGTGCAACATACCTATTGGCGATTGGTGGAGAAATTCGATAAGTACAGGTTGGAGACAGGAGCAGAAATTAGAAGTGGTCCTTCACAGTACTCCACCAAGTGCGAAGAGCTGATGAAGTACAGGTCACAAAAGGCAGTTGGACATTCTGTGACAGCTCTTGATCGGAGTCAAGGCATCTATGTAGTTAAGACTCCCCCCAACAATTTCAACATGACGGGGTCAAACACACTCACAGTGCACTTTGACGACCAAAACCGGGAGGGATTTTGCACCTGTGGTAAATTTCAAGGAAATAAAATTCCTTGCTCTCATGCTATTGCAGTTTGCAACCGACTGGGGGCTAATGCGTATGGGTTTGTAAACAATGTCTACAAACTGGAAACAGTGATGGCTTGTTATGGGACAAGTTTCGCACCTCTTGGTGAACCTAAGGGTTGGAAGAAGCATAATGGTCCTACTCTCCATCCTAATGTGCACATGCTTAGGAAGCCGGGGAGGCCACGGGTTACAAGGATTCACAACGAGATGGATTGGCCAAGGGAGGGTGCATCACACCAAGTGTGTAGCAACTGTAACCAAGCGGGACATAATGCATCAACCTGCGGTGGTCAAGCTAGTGGGAGTGGGAGCAACCGAAGAGGGAGAGGTGGTCGAAGAGGAAGTAGAGGTAATAGACGTGGCTGAGAAGTTTGTTCAAATGTAGTAGTTGTTGTATTTCGTTCGAATAATCATGTAGAAGTTGTTGTAGTTTGGTATGAAGTTGTTGTAGTTTGGTATGAAGTTGTTGTAGCCTGGCGAAGAAAAAACCTAACCTCAGCCTCAGGATGTGGCTGATGAGGCTCATGCTGCCTCATGCCAAACTGCCGGAGCACGCGGTCTGGATGATGCCACATCACCGATGAAAAGCAGATAAGTGGCACTACTGCTCGAAATGTCTCAGACTGTATCACACTACCTCTGAGATGAAGTGCTCTCTCACGGTAAGGTTGCCACTACATAGCAAAAATTTAACGTTATTATCCCTAATTCTAAAAAAATAAAACAAATGAAAACTATTCTATAAAATGGAATGTTATATACTAACCACCACGGTGTCCATCGCGTCTAACCACAGCTTGTACTGGAATAGCTGGTCACCATACTGACGACTGCTGGCCGAAAGCCATCGAAGACCACGTGGATGTGCATCCTCGGTGGCCTGTGCCCTCGTCTCTGAATCTCGAGGAGCTAGATGTGGGAATCGCTCCCACGCCCAGAACTGCAGTAGGGCGACCCATCCACCAAGGTCACCGGCTAGAGAAGTGCCGGTATGCGAAA